TCTCCTGAATTTTGGGTTATAGACGTGCATTTGCCTCTGAGGAGATTCCGTAGAAGGATTTTCTGGGTAGAAGTTGGCTGATATCTTTATTTTAATGTTCCATGGGATTCTTATTGAGCATGTGATGCGATTATTTTCGTGAGGAGAGATTTGAAAGAGTCTTAACACTTACGCATTTTCTTGGGTTTCCCAATATAATTTATCTACCAATGCTTTCTCACAAGGTTTGGAATGGAGAGGGAACAAAGATACGAAGTTTCAAACTTCCATGTTCTGTTAATTTGTAGGCTATCCCAGTGTACTGCTGACGAATATTTTGAAGGTTTGAGGCTTCTTGGCGAGATTTTCCAAGATGTATGAAAACCATGTTCCTATAGCAGAAAATTGCAATGGATCTGATGAAAATTCTCATGATTGAGCTGAAAAACGATGATGAAATGTGGGGACAAAATGTCAGCCTTTTTTGACGTATTTTTGTTTACTTCTGCGAAAGTAACCCTGGCGGCTCTTCTCTCCATCACTCAACAGATGGGGCATCCATCTCTGGTTTTTGGCAGCCCAGCGTGTCTTTCCGAATATTTGAAATCGACATGGCATTAATTTCAAGGGTTACTTATTCCAGGTCTTCCGAAGTAATTCTGTCATTTTCATCAGCAGCCGCCTTCACATCCGCCACATTCTTATCCCAAGTGACGTCAGTGAAGGTGGTTGTTGACGAAAATATCGGCTTTAATAATCAATGGCGGCAACCCTTGGAATTAATGCCACGTCAATTTGAAGAATCATGAAGGGAAAGCTGGGGTACATGAAGAAATCTGCAGGATGGGCGTATCATCTTTTCGAGTCAAAAGCAGAAAGCTGCTAGTGTGACTTTTAAACATTTTCAGAATATTTTTGCAAAAAAAGAACTGAATTATTTTTTTTGCCAAAGAATGCTTTTTCTGAGAGTAATTTTTTTTGCTACATCGGATGCCGTTTCAATATATATTCATAGAAAATTCTCTTATGTGGCAAATTTTGTGCGTCTAAGTTTTGCTTTTTTGTTCGCGATTTCTGATGTTCTATTGTTCGAATGAACTCGCAGGTCTTCACTAAATGGAACAAGAGTGAGTTGGATTCGTTCCTCATCGAAATCACTGCCAACATCCTCAAGTACAAGGATGAATCGGGTAACAATGCGTTTTTTAAAATCATTTACTGAATCTGGATCAATTGAGTTGATGATTCGTTCTTCCTTCTTGAAGGCGAGTATCTGGTTGAGAAGATTCGTGACACAGCGGGTCAAAAAGGTACTGGCAAATGGACCGCAATTTCGTCCCTTGAGCTCGGAACTCCAGTCACATTGATCGGCGAGTCGGTGTTTGCTCGCTGTTTGTCTTCTCTGAAGGACGATCGTCAACTTGCGTCCAAGATTCTTGAAGGACCAACTCACAAATTCACTGGAAACCAGGATGAGGTCGTTGAGCATATCAGAAAGGCTAGTGTTTCTCTTATCACGTCCGGAGTCCAGTTCTTGTTGAAGTGGTGCAGAGGGTTATATCTGAAAAAAACGGAACTTGTTTCTGATTTTTTTTTTTGTGAACAGGCGCTGTATGCAAGCAAGATTGTGTCCTATGCTCAAGGCTTCATGCTGTTGCGTGAAGCTGCTAAGGAGTATAACTGGAATCTGAACTATGGCGGGATTGCGCTCATGTGGCGTGGAGGATGCATTATTCGAAGGTAGTTGATGAGTAAAACCCCGATAAGCCGTCACTCTTGACAACCGCTAATTTATGTTGAAAAATAAATCTTCGAAGATTACAAGCATTTCAAAGGCCTTTCGCCGTTAGCCAAGATCATTAACAACTCATATGCTCCTGCTAATTAATTTATTCGATTTCCCACCAAGATGAAAGTTTCTGCTAGAGATGTCTCCAATAAAAAAAAGGATGACATGATTTACCCTTTATGAACATTAGCTAGACATAGTTTACGCATCCGAATTACTTTCTTGAATCGAATTTTCCATTCCTAATTTTTTATATTGCTTTTTTGATGAATTCTTGAAGATTTGCGCTGGAGTTTTCTGTATAAAATCTTGATTAAATTACATTTCCATTTTGGACACGCATACCATTTTTAGTGACCAAAACTGCAATACAGTATTTAAATTCGAATATTCCGAAAGAATAAAAACTCTCTTCGGAACTAGGACTTAACTCCTTATTAAAACTTAACTAACGTACTTTTACTCAAAGACAACTTGAACCAGGTTCAAAAATAAATAAATAGTCTTAGCTTCATAGTTGTTGCAGATCTGAAATTGAAAATGTTGAAATTTTGTACCAGCAATCCTTTTTTTTCTTTTCACTTTGAAGCTTGAAAGGGTGGGAGTAAATCTGCTACTTGAAGTTGGAAATTTGAAGGTTGCATTCATGTGTGAGATTTTTAATTTCTTGCCCTTATTAGCGTCTTTCTGGGGAACATCAAAACGGCTTTCGATAAGGATCCTACTCTCACCAACTTACTTCTGGATGACTTCTTCAAAACTGCGATCCACTCATGCCAAGAGTCGTGGCGAGAGGTCGTTGCTTCTGCCGTGAAGTTGGGAGTTCCTGTGCCAGCTTTCTCTGCTGCTTTGTCGTTTTATGATGGATTCCGCCGCGAGAAATTGCCTGCCAACTTGATCCAGGTACAGTATTTTGTAATCGAAATTTTTTGAATGTTCACTGAACTCTAAACATTTTAATTTTGTTGCTTAGGCTCAGCGGGACTACTTCGGCGCGCACACTTATGAGTTGCTTTCGGAGCCTGGCAAGTTTGTGCACACCAATTGGACTGGCAAGGGAGGTGAAATTTCATCAACGGCGTACAATGCGTAGAGGAGCTGAGTATCAAAACTATTCTTCCTCCTTCTCTGATGGGTCACGAATGATTTGAATTGGAACTGAATGATTCTGAAACTGATATTCACGTGATTCTGCGTAAGTGGTTGCACAATCGGGATTCAATACGAAAAGCTTTTGAATGTGTTATTGAAGAGCAATTGGCTTTGTCTGGATAGATTTTATTTATTTTTAATGTCTTTGTGGCTCTGTTTCCTAGCGGGTGGCGATGAATATTTGGAAATAGAAATAGTTCTTGTCATTTAATTTGTTTTAATTCTTTGATTTTTTTTTTGTGATGAACTATCTGAAGTGTTGCATCATTTTAGGTGATGAAAGTGTAAGAATATTTAGGAAAAATCAGTAAGCAATTCAGGTTAAGGATGACAGGAATAACACCATCATATTTCATGTGACCATGTCCACCTTCAGCGAAGAGGAATACGGTTGAGCCTTAATAGGTCTAAGTCTCTGTAAGGCCCCTCTAAAATGAATTAATCAAGCCCCTGTCTGAATTCCCTTGGAAAAGAATGTATGTAAGGAACCTGTTAACTCGGTGTTTTCCTATCAAACTTCCCTGACTTAAATTTTTTGAGGCCTCTTGGCTACTATTTTTGTGGAAGGAGAAAGAAAATCAATAGAAAACGGAATTCGATGTGTTTTGAAAAAAATTATTGGGCAAATGAACTCTTGATGTGGCCAAGTTCAGCCTTCTGTCCATTCAGGAAGCACTTGAAAGCCCAGAGTAGTATTTGAAAATTCTGGCTGCTTATATTTTTCCCGCAACAAAAATGCTTGTTTCCTATCTCAAAACCTTGCCAAGTCAACAATTTTTTTCTGGTCCCTTGAAATCTGACAGGAGAGGTTCGTTGTAAAATATTTAGATTCTTCTCTTATCAGCACTTTCTAGCAGATGGCACAGTTTTTCAAAGCCAAGTGTGTTGTAGCTTAACCAATTTCAGGTACTGTACCTGTCTTCATATCATTTGCACTCACAAAATTGTGAAATGGCTGATGCATTCCCCCACCCTGCAGCTTTGGATGTTTCAATATGTTGGGTGTTCAATGTATCAATATGAAGGTGATATTTTTGGCAATTTATATTTTCAAATTTGAAAATTAAATATTGTATAAAAGTAGTGCTGACTAATAATAGGTAACTACACAGCCAACTGCATAATTTTTACTTACAAAATTCATGAAACTCAAAATACCATGATTGTGAAAAGTTTTTCTATTCGGTATTACAGTACAGTGGTCTTTGGTCCAGGTATTCTGAATAATGTCCCATCAAACTGACGAAAAAAAAAAAATACTACTTAAAATTGTCAAGAAACATTTCAGCTTTAATTCCGGCAAAGCCATCCACACTCAAGTCAGGAATGCTGGTAACATCCAGGCAATGAGAAACTATGGTGAAGGAATAATCAGCGAAATAGTCATCCAACGTGTTGGAGGTCACACCGGGTAAATCCAGTCATTGCAGAAGGAAATTAAACGATTTGATTTTGTCCCTCTTCAATCTGGGGGGAAAAACAACGGCTGGAACATCGAAAACGGGGTCTAAACTGCAAAACGGAACAACTGGAGTAAAAGGGACGCACAGTCCAGCCTCACGGCATAATAAACGATGGTTAACATCTAACCGAACAACAAACTGCTTCCTCTCCATGCGTTCTCATGCTCTGCGAACGTACGTGTTTAAAAGCTCCTCACATTCGCGCTATTTGATCTTCCAGTGCGACATTCGTTCGAGCAAAAATTTCCCACAAGCATTTTAAACTGCTACTACGCCACATTTAGCATTTTTTGAACCGAGGTTTCAAGAACAAAGAAAAGGGTACTAAATTTCCCAACTGCTTCCTTCCCGCAATCGCTCCATAAGGACTGCCTGAACACCTTCAGGAAGTGCATGTCGATTAACCAACTCTGCTCAAAATACGTTGTACCAATAAGTAAATCCTAACACGATCGAAAAATAAGACATAAAAAAAGAAATTTTCTCTCGCGGATCGCAAAAAATCTCCTCCACTCTCAAAACGGTAAAAAAAAATTTCCGCGTGCGCAAAAAGTGAACATCCAATCGCTCATGCAAGCAATATAAACTGATCTCTGTACAATCTTTGGATTAATGCGAAGCGCGAAACAGCGATTCCAAGCGACGAAGATCAGAACTGCTGAAAGTTTCTCTCTTCTGCGTTTTCATTATTTATTTATTTTTTGCGAGACAGCGATTCCTTTCCAGAAAACGGTCGATCTTTTTTCCTTCATAAATAAAACTTCAGAGAAAAGAAAAGCTCTTCCTTCCATCGCCCCGAGAACTTGGTTTCTCCGCTTGCCGCAGCATCCGAAAACTTCCCGCTTCTCTATAACCCGTTCTGAGCATATTCATACTGCCGATACGTCGCCGCTTCACATGAGGAAGTTTTCGCGGAAGTCAGACGACTAAAGGACCGGGCTGCTCGAGTTTAGGCTTCTTTCGAAGTGAAGAAAGAGGAAGTAGAAGAACTGGAGCGCAACCGTCCAGACGTTTATTTTGGGTCAAAAAATAATTAAATTTCAGCGTTTTGAAACGGACAGCTATTCCAAGAGTATGTATTTCAGCATTGTCCATAAATTCGAGCCCAACTGAGGACTAGAATAAATAAAAAATGCCGAATTTACGCAAAAAGATGATTATCTACAATTCTAATACGATTGCATTAATTTTTATATCACAGAAAAAAAAATTTGTTGGCAAATTAGAAAGACCCACAATGCCTCGGTTCCCAAAAATCTCTGAAAATTCTCGGTACCGGCAGAAGTGAAAAATGAGTACGCCAAAGGTAAAAATATAAAAGTCCTCAAACACAAAAACCACTATGACTGATAGTGAGGTGTTCACATTCTTTCACATGGAATTTACTAGGCAAACAATACCACTAAAAAAAAAACTACTCCGAGAAAGAACAGCTAGATGCCTCTCATTTTTGAACGTATCCTAGCGGAACATGCGGCACAAAAATACTGAATCAATCAATGCATGGTGCTGTACAACAATCCTTTGAATGGGGACTCATTTTTTTTATTACAAAATACAGCAGAATCTTGTGGTAACGAAGTGCTCAGCACCTTGAAACAGCATCATTATCGACAAAAATTCGTTTAAACGAAATTAAAATAACATTTAGGCTATTGGAAAATGACGAAAAACCCAAATTTGCTGCAAGCATTACTTCGTTACACAAGTACATATCAAGATTCTTATGCAGTATTGTATGCGGGTTCAAACCCTTAATTTATCCAATTGAGGCGTGGGAAATTGTGGGAAATTTTTTCAACAATATTTGCAGAGAGCTCTTCTTGTTCTTCTCCTACTGAAATGAAATTCACAACACTAAACGCGCAAGAAAGCAGATAGCTCAACATTGTGTACTCCTTCAAAAGCGCCTTCAGTCTGCTGATTTCCTGGCCCGACGAGCTCAAATCCGAAGAAAGCTTCACTTCTTTCTCCTTCATCTTCTTGACCTCGCGTTGGCAGGTCTGCAAATAAAACCATCAAAAAATAATTAAATTTCAGCGTTTTGAAACGGACAGCTATTATGCATTTCAGCATTGTCCATAATTTCAAGCCCAACTGAGGACTAGAATAAATAAAAAAAATACCGCATTCACGCAAAAAGATTTACAATTCTAATAAGACTGCATTAATTTTCATACCACAGAAATAAAAAGACATGTTGTTGGCAAATTGGAAAGACCCACAATGCCTCGGTTCCCAAAAATCTCTGAAACTTCTCGGTACCGGCAGAAGTGAAAAATGAGTACACCATAGTTAAAAATAGAAAAGTCCTCAAACACAAAAACCACTATGACGGAATGATAGTGAATTCTTCACCTTCTTTCACATGAAATTTACTAGGCAAACAATACCACTAGAAAAAAGTACTCCGAGAAAACCCGTTAAAAGATGCCTCCCATTTTTGAACTTGTCCTAAGCGGAACATGCAGCACAAAAATACTGAATCAATGCATGGTGCTGTACAACAATCCTTTGAATGGGGACTCATTTTTTGACTACGAAATACAGCAGAATCTTGTGGTAACGAAGTGCTCAGCACCTTGAAACAGCATCATTATCGACAAAAATTCGTTTAAACGAAATTAAAATAACATTTAGGCTATTGGATAATGACGAAAAACCCAAATTTGCTGCAAGCATTACTTCGTTACACAAGTACATATCAAGATTCTTATGCAGTATTGTATGTGGATTCAAACCCTTCATTTTTCCAATTGAGGCGTGGGAAATTGTGGGAAATTTTTTCAACAATATTTGCAGAGAGCTCTTCTTGTTCTTCTCCTACTGAAATGAAATTCACAACACTAAACGCGCAAGAAAGCAGATAGCTCAACATTTGTGGCCTGATATACAGCACTTACCACATTTTGCCGAAGGAGCTCGAGTTTATCACATTTGAGTTTGTTGACTTCTTGGGTCAAAGAGTCGATTTGCCGGAAAAGCTGCTCGATCTGCTCCGACCCGGGCGACGGGGGAGTGCCCTGGCGCTGGTTTTCGCGAGGGTTTCTCGCCATCCGCCTTCGACCACCGACACCGGCGCCATTGTTGGACACTGTCACGTCATCGTCGACGTCTTCCTCCTCCTCCACCAACACGTCATCTTCCCGTCCATTGGCCACCGTGTCCAGACACGCGGAGCACGTTGACACTGACCCGTTCTGATGGTGCAAGTGGTGCAGGGGGTGGTGGTGGTTGATGACGTGCGGTGGGTGCGGGGTTTCTCCGCTCGACATGCTTTCCATGCCGGTGTCGCTGTCGTCGTGTCGATAGCGCTCAAGTTCGACGCTGTTCAGCGACGACGAGTCCGACTCCGAAACTGCAACTCTGCGGGAAGAAAATCGGCCGTTTGTAAAAATTCCATTCCACAGTATTTGTAAATTAAGTTTTCTGAAATTTCAGCGATTTACTTATCTGGAAAACTTTATACAGGTGGACTCTCTCTCTCTCTACAACGATCTTGTCTATAGCGATTTTCTCTGAATATTAAATGTTTTTCGATCGCATATAGAGTTCTCTACATCCCATGCTACAGTGATTCTTGTTCTGGTCCCTTGAATTTTGTTGCAGAGAGAATCCACCTGTGCTCTAATAATACACACGCAGAACAGCAGTAGAATAAACATTTTTTCAAATGCGTAAAAGTTATGTTCATTCTGGTTTCTGTCTTCTTGAAAAATCCCTTTTTTTTTAGCCTTCGCGGCGACTAACCCAAGCCAACCAAATAATTTTATCTCATCGTAAGAATATTCTACACAAGGAGTTCTGCCTTGTGTACAATTACTTCGAAGTTTTAGAACATATGCTGTTTTGGACAGGCTAAATCAGCGTTTCTCAACCTGATTTTCGATAAATTTGTTATGCTGAAGAAAATTTCCAGCGGACCGGCAAAAAATGTCTGCGGACCACAGGTTGGGTAACACTGGTCATGCGCTCAAATATCTGCTAAAAAGTTTGATTTGTATGTCATTTTTATTATGTCATGCGCTCAAATATCTGCTAAAAAACTTGATTTTTTTAAAAATTCGTATCAATATCCATATTGGCGACATTGCCCAAGAAGATGTTCTCACCTCATGATTCCATTGCTCCGATGAGCAGGAGTGTCGGGACTAGACTGAGGAGACGGAGGTGAACTGGCTGTTCCATTCGAATGTTTGTTATTTTGATGTGAATGGATGGCCATTAAATCTCCAGAAGACTTGTTGTCGGCAACGCCAAGAGCCCGTTTACTCATTTTGCCCGACGATGTGCCTTGTGACAACTGAAAACAAAGACATGCTTAATTAAAATCGGAACCCTATGCGCTGAACTTTCTTCGACTTCCCAAGTTGTTTCAAAACCACTTCGACGGCTAGTTTCATTCTGATGAAAAGTGAGCAGTGGGCGAATCTCGGTTAATTTATGTAAAATGAGCGTGGGATCCCAACCAAGTACAAGAACGTTTTTATGTCTATCTCCTGTGTGTAAAAAGGTTCTTATTAAGAGTTATTAAAGAACCCATTTTAGGAGTGCAAATGAACAGAGGATATAACTGAAAGTACAGTACTAACATATACGGTACTCTGGAAAGTTAATGATCTTGACCCATCAGAAACTTGGATCGCCAACGCAAGTACAGTAATTTTTGAAATGATGGCATAACTCGGATCATCTCTCCCACTAATACTACGATTGAAAGTTATCACTGCAAAAATCTAAAAAATAAATTTTCCAAAGTCGAGTGTAATAATCACTGTTGTCCGCTGGGCACTTGGCTCGAAGGTCGTACATGGCTCAACCGGTGACTTGAGCGGTGTGAACGTCTTGATCACCAAAAGAAACCCCGAGGCAATCTGCGTGGATCACTTCCGGTTCTGTTCCTTCCGATAAAAGCTCTCTTCACGGTGTCCAGGAACTTGGGCTTATCGGAATTTGTGGACTCGACGGAGTCGCTCGACGTCGCAGGAACCGGGTGAGGCACTCCAGTGAACAACGCCGTCTTCGTCTGAAGGTCTTCGACCAAGTTGCTCAGCAAACTCGACCTTGTTCGCAGCTTCACGCATGAAATAAACGATAAAGCATTAAACAACGGCTTCCCCGGGACAACAAATGAGAATCGACTTATCCCCCCAAAGATATAAAATCGGCAGGCCATTATTCGCATGAATAAACCCGGCCAATCGTCGCGATTCAAGGAGTGGTATTACATGACGGTTCTGCACTAAAGAATCTCACCTCAAGCTTGGAAAATCGCTCAGCCTTGTAGCTTGCGGTTTCAGCGTTGATCAGCTTGGTGAGAATGAAATCACGGAATTCCGCACCTTTGCGGAACACAGCAGGACTAGGCAGGGTGGGTCCGAAAAACGGCACATCGTCTCTGGCCGTCACGGAAACCTTGTACCTGAAACACCGCAAATTTCTCTCCATCATGATGAACAGTAGAACAAATTCAAACATTCCAATTCAACGAAAATCAGGGTGGGTCCGAAAAACGGCACATCGTCTCTGGCCGTCACGGAAACCTTGTACCTGAAACACCGCAAATTTCTCTCCATCATGATGAACAGTAGAACAAATTCAAACATTCCAATTCAACGAAAACATGAACGAAGAAGAGCATTGTACAGTCAAACCTCTCCAAGTTAAATTTAAAGGAACAAGAAAAAAAATCGACCTAGGGATGTTTCGAGTTGAGAAAACCTGCATTTTTGTCGTGAACAGCATAAAAAGAATTTCAGAAAATGATAAATCGTGATATTCTGGGCCTTAATTGCTTCTAATATGAGTTCGCAGGATGCTGTACTTGGACTCAGAGGTTAACTTCCCCAATTAGTGTTTAACTTCCTTTTACAACAAATGAAGTTACTTTTTTATTGTTCTTTTCTTTCCTGTGTCAAGAAAATAATAGCCAATAGTCCTCAGAAAAATCGAGTTATGGAGGTTTCATAGGAAAAGCCTTTGAGCTAGAGTAATTTTTAATGCATTGTTTCTCTGGGAATTCAGAAGGGGACTTGAAAAAAATTGATTGAGGGAGGTTGGATTTATCGAGGTTTAACTGCACTAATAATGTGAACACCTCGAATAGAGGTCTCGGCATGGAAATGAAGAGGAAAACGAAACAACACTGTTATGAGAAGCTCCAGGCGTGTTATTTTTCCAATAAATTACATCGTACTTTACGTGAGTAAATATCGCGAGAAAGATTAAGCCAGGAGAGCCTCATCTACCTTCCAAAAATATTTCTCTCATCAAGAGAACCAAAGAAGGTATTTCTCACCTCGTATTTGGACTATTCGGTTCAATGACTTGCACAACGATGTACGCATGTAAGAAATGGGAAGCAATCATGTTCGGAGTGAACGGAGTCGCATCCTCTTGGAAGACAATCGCAACAATGTCATTCCCTGAAAACAAAAACATTCAAATGAATTCAAGTTTTTTTTCTATTTCCAAAGGGAACAGCGAGTTCAATCGGAATAAATTCTCCTTCGACACGTGAGCAATACACAAATTTGCTTCGTAATGAAAAAAGTAGTGGGTTCAACGGTTTCTTACCAATATGCCGTTTCCTTTGGAGTTGCTGCGGGTCGTTGTCCGTATACGGCAGCAACGTGGAGACGTGGAACATGATTTCACGTTCTTTGTACACTTCGTATACTGACTCTTCCCCTGTTTGGCCGAACTGTATGTCGAGTCCTCCACGATAACTAGAATAGAAGCACAAAAAAATAATAAATTTACATCTTTGTCTCCAATCATAATTGATTTCTCTGTCAAATCCCATTATCCTTATAGGTACAGTATCAACAATGGATGAGGCTGATTAAAACTTGTGCATTTCTACCAAAGTTCTCCAAAAAATATTTTGTACCAATACTGTATTTGTTCCATTTGAACAGACACTCGAACCGACTGGTACTACTGTATTTTCATCACGAACAATCAGGAAGACTCACTAATTTTCGTCTGCTTTTGTAGGCAAAGAAATATGTTACAGGTGTTAAAAGTGCGATTAACTTCCGTTGACGCCCAAAAACAGTTTATAAAATAAATTACAGATTTAAAAAAACTACGCTTTACGAACTGAACAAAACTTCTCGAGTTCAAACAGCGTACGGACGATTTCATACGTGAATAAATCGACGCAACATTTTAGTTCGATTTCGGCTCACGGTGCAGCGTTTGAAATCACGTTTAGTACAATCCTGAATGAACCATGCCTCAATTCGCTACGTTTATTTAGACGAGGCAATATTCTGGGGGAACACGGTGTATAGGTAGGTACTATATGGTACAGTACAAGAAAAAATTCCCTTTCAATTTAATGCTTACCCTCGGTGATCCTTGAGGCGGATTTTCTGTCCGAGTAGCTCCAGGAACTCTTCAAACGCAGGACTCATCGCTGCATTGCTGAAAAGCTCTTCTTCGGTCGTCTGGCCAAACCTTTGGTAAATTATCCCGAACTTGAACTGCCGAACCAGGACGTGTTCGTCGTAGGCCAAGACTTGCTCAGAAGCTCCAGGACACAACACTGGCCACCATTTGGCATTGCAATCCAGGTCATCATTCAAGATCTAAAACGAAAACAAAAAATGGAAAATTAGCTCAAGCTCTGAAAGCATCGAACACGAATTTCGAAAAAAACCTTGGTTATCGCACAATAAAGTACTGCACATCGCTTTACAATTGACAAAAGAAAAACATCCTCGTAACATCAAGTAAAAATGCCAGCATTATATACGCTCGAAATTAACTGACTAATTATTACGTATAATGTGTTATGTCTACATATGAAAAAAAAACAGGAAAACTTCGAGAGAAAAATTGATCATAGCTCCAACTGTCTCAAATAATGAAGCATCGTTAGAAAATTTGATTAAACAGATGAAACGACGATGTCTAGAAGCCACTTCAATGTTCAGGACACAAATAAAAGAAGCTTTCCAAGTTAAAACGTCAATTTCCTACTCCCTTCCAATAAATCGAAATTTGAGAACGCTTAATAAAATATCCAGAATCAGAAGAGGCCGGTTAATTCGACTTATGCTGTGACTCTTCCCTCAAATAAAATATAAAAAAATGCGCAGAACCAGTAAAAATAAAAAAAAACGCGCCATTGAGTAATTTTTGATGTGAACTTTTCTCCAGACACGGCTTCTTCAAATTGGGTGGGCGATGAATACAAAACGAGGGACTAGGAAGTCGCCCCAGATTCAGAAATTGGATTTCGTCAGCGATAACGCTTTTCTTCCCGCCCCACTACCTTCGGGGAAAGAAGGGGAAGAGCTCATGCTCCATAAATGAACGTTTTCTCTTCAAGTAAGGAAGAGACAGAGAAGGCACAAAATAAAAAATAAAACTACAGAGCTGGCGAAAAGAGGAGAAGACGGCAAGCTGCATCACGCCTTCTTACAAACACGCTCCGACGACTGCGAGACGCATTTGTTACCCGCGCCTCGAATAAATGTCACGAATAATGGCTTCGGTGTTGGGGAGACGGCCAACAGCTTTCCTGCGAAAATTTCGGACAAACCGTTCCGCTCTCACACAAAAATGAAGACGTCACGCGGAATTAGTCAAAAACATTGCGAGAGAACAAGAATATACGGAATGGACCTTTTTTTTTTTGGTCGGTCGGCAATAGTAATGAGGATGACCGAAACACAGGCGACTCTGAACGTTTCTCATTTTGTCTCGCGCAACCGACTTCCTCGTCGTCGCCATGCCTACGAAAAATCCTCGTATTTTGTTTTTGCCACTCTAATCGATTTCCCGTAAAATTTACCAACATGAAAAAATATTTCAGCACATTTGTCCGCGAACCTCCATGATTTGGCACAAAAGAGAAGAATCCTCAACTCAATGCAATCGAAAGACGAATTTTCCAGGGATGGCAGTTGCGCGCATTCTTTGATTTGAGCAAAACCGGACAAGAACAAAATAATTCAAGCGCAAAATAGCACTGGAAATCGGCCAAATATAAAAACTATAACGCGTAAAAATTATAGACATTCTTGATTTAAATAATTTAAAATTAGCGGAACTTCATTTTCTACCAAAAAACGTAACCCGTAAAACAGCCAAAATTATTTCGAAATTCGTGGAGAAGAATTTCACGCGGCCGTAGATTTTCAATCCGACGATGAACGAAGAAAATCCATTACATTCACTGAAGATAGAAACCCACATTTGCCGAGATTCCCAGGTGAGGATGCACTGGGGAAATTTTCTGCACAGCAAAGCACAGTCTTAGCCGTAATCTCGCTTTCCTGGTTCCTATACTGTACAGCAAATCCCCGCGGGTTCCCAATAACCCGCAACATGGGACGCGCAGTGGGTAAAGGATATTACAAGACGATAGAGAGAAAGAACAACCCGGGGGTTTCCGCCGGATGCGACATGATTATAACAGCCCAGACACAACATATCTGGGTCAAGGCAACCGCCTCGACCTCTCCTGAATATAAATTGCGAGAAAATATTTTTTTTCAGGAGAATCTTCATCCTCGGTTCTTTAAGAGTACAAGCAGTACTTTGCAGCAAAAAAAAAAAAAAGGTAGGGGGGGGGGGGGGGAAACGAACCCCGCCAACCGCTTCGATAATCAGAATTTCCGACGTGCCTTCAGCTTCATTACGTGATTCCGAAAGTTCTCATTATTTCATGGAAAATATGCGATTTGTTTAAAGGAAGAACAGTACTTTTGTCGATTTATGTACAGTACTCGTAAAATGCCAAGGTCGAACTTGAATCTTGGCTTGGCTCAAGTTCCTTGCGGGTTTCTTCACGCCACATTCCCTGAAATGTCGCGGGAAATTACTTGGTTGTGATGACGAGCACATGAAAAAAAATAATCGTCGTGGTCCACAAAATAAAAAATCATCAACAATAGTTAACTGATGAACACGCATTGGGATCGAATGGGGTCAAACTGTGAGAAATTGAAAATGAAGGAAACACCTTAAAAAATTGAATTACAAACATCACAAGTAGGGTATTCGACTTCTCTATCTTGAGCGACAAAATTCAAATTAGTGTTACTCAATACGGGAAAATCAAAAACGGAAAAAGCATGAATGCTTGAATCCGATGGAAATCTCAACGAATTACTCCAGAAGAACACAGCTTTTAACTTCGGTTCAAATAACAACGTCAAATATTCTAAAAATGATTTCTCAAACGTTCCCTCAAGACAAAAGAGTCAACCCACCTCAAGAGATAACGAGGTTGCATATTCTATTAAACTATACGTGCACTAAACACGAGAAAATTTATGGCTAATGTCTTCTCCCGCAATATTAGGGAGCCCTTGACCTCACCTCGTTCGACCCCTTTGACCGAGGGCCCGCAATTAAACCCGACTAGCCCCCAGGAAAATATTTTTGAATTTTCACGCCAGACCGGTTTTCTTTTCAGTTCTGGTCAAGTGTAAAAAAAAAAGCAGACAAAAATGCGTGAGTAGATGTACAACAGCGTTTTGGATCCGATCCATTATTAGATTTGCGTCATCAAGTGACGTTTCCTTGGCGCTGTTTTGAAGGAATTTTTTGATCGAAAAGGTGCGGTTTTCTGCTTCGCTAGAAAATTTCGGTTGACTGGAGCGAATAATTTTCTTCAGTCGTTTCGAGCAGATGAAAATGGACCTGAAGTAAATCACCAGCGCCCTTGTCGGTTCCCCTGATAAATATGCGAACACAACTTGACCTTGTACGAATTTCTGAAAAACCTCTGGAAGTTACACGAACACACACACACACACACACACACAAAGAAAAAAATTTGCCCCGAAAAGCAATCCCGACATTCACGATCTCTGCCAACGAAAAATATTGCGAATACCGTACTCCGACAGAATGTTTTTTTCAAGACTCAAAAAACTCGAAAATCCGTGATCGAAAAAGAAATAAATCACTCGCTCTTCATCAACACGGGGTGAAGGGAGGTTCATTCAAAAGAGAATCTGACGAAGAAAAAAAGAAGTAATCGGATGCCAATCGACGAAAGCAGACGTAACAAACAGCTGTCGTTAATGAGCAACTTGCGTGACGCTTCTTTAAAATTGCATTTATTTTCCCCATACGTCTCGCCAACGATTCCTACGAAGGTCTGCATTCGGAACAGAACGCATTCATTTTCTCCCCCGAGAGCAATCCTTGAATAATTAACACTGTCCAAGCCCAACGTTTTCTCCCCTCGACAAAACCCCAAACGTCTTTTCAAAGTCCGCATTCTATTCTGATTTACCTGCCTTTCGAGAGAACGAGAAAGAAGAACGACTGCAGATTGTATTCCAAGTTTACGACGAAGAAAGGAAACAAAAAAAAGTTACGATTTCCCATACCCGTATCCACTTGAAGGACGCATCTTAAGCAGACAGCAGCACAAACGACGAGTTCGGGCAAGAAACCGTGACGTTTTTTTTCAGCTTGAAACTTTCCAGAAAACTAACCTTGCTTTGGAAAACGTTTATGACCAACTCAGCACGAAAGGGAAATTTTATGGCACGCCTCGAACGGCACGAAAGCTTTGCATGACGAAATGGAAAAGGACGCGTCGCGGTCAACTCAGGTTTCGACGACGCAAAAATGCGCTTCAATAAAACCATCACTTGAAACTCTTTCTAACCTAATTAGTCGTGAATCAAAGCAATAAAACTGAATAAATCAAGAAGATGTTCGATTATCTGCGAGTTACTCAATCGTACCCAAGTTCCGAGTCACAACGACGGAACAAAACGGCCGGCATGATATAAATTTCTTCCGACACATTTATAATTAATGAACAAATTATACGCACAAATGAACTCCGGGATGCAAGGTAATCTTGATATTGATAATAAATCACCTTTCATTCTCTGATTCCGTGAAAAAACTCGAAAACAAACAATAAAGTCAAGACTGTATCCCGCAGTGTTTCATCACTGTATCCGATGATTATCCTGGAGTTTTAATGAAAGAAAATCCAGTGACGCGTACAAATGAAAATCGTGTAAAAATGCGATCTGAACCTGCTCGGGAATCAATCCTGTGCATCGATTCGGAAGGTTGTCATCAGCGATCGCAAAAGATTCAGTGAAGTGCGCCGGGAATAGCAAAAGGTCAATTTTTCGATCTCGGAACCGCAAAAGCCCAAGAGGAAGGAAAAAAAGAGAGAAAATTCTGCAGGTGTGACCCGCAGCGGGGAACAATTGGGTGACGCACAGGAAGGAAGTGGGTGAACGCAATCCCTCCGAAGAAAGAATTCTGCGGTGGGCAAAAGGTTCCCCATCGAGTTCAGCCCACTTCGACACCTTCAGTCACATTCACACACATTCCCTCTCACACGCCCCAGTGTTCGCGCAAAAATCGAAAGAAAACGGAATGATGGTGATCATAATCACGATGATAATAACAAATAATTTGCAGATGAAGAATGCTTCCTTTCAAAGGACAGTTGAGGCCTCCTCAGCAATTTTCCTGCTTGTAGAAAAAAAAAACTTAGAACACGTCTCCAGTCGTTCGAATAATAACTGACTCGACGATTCTTGAATATTCTGACATTCTCCGTGTAGCTTTCTATAAACTTATCAACGGACCA